AATTTGCAATATCTGACGGAGTCTGACCTTGCTGATTTGTTTAAAAAACGACACCATTGGTGCTAGAGCGGAATTCCGCCATCAACTCATAACTTGGAGGAAAACAAACGTAAGTATTGTGAATCCCTCTGTGATCATTTCATGAAGAATCTTTTTTGTTGCAAAATTCCTTCAGGGGTATGGTAGCGTGTCGCCGTGCGATACAGCGTCCGCCAATTCTGGTTTTGTTGACTTTGTGCAGCAGTGGCGACAGCGGATCAACAATGGCATCGAATCTCCTTCATGCTCACAAACATCCAGTTCATCTTTACATGACTTCGTAACCACAAACCCAACAAAACATTAAACAAGTTTTAAAAACCTAAAATTTTTAAGGATTTGCAGCAAGTGTTAAGTGCCCATCCAACTGGCGAGTATGTTCTGCGACTGGACAAACTAGATGACGCTGGGAGGAAGATCTTAATTGATGTCACTGTGTCGTGGTTTATTAAAAGAAAAATCAAAATATGCCGAAATACATTTCAATCTATTGCGCAAGATATTGCAAACAGGTTTAAAGATGACAAGGTAAATTATTTATTCATTACAAAACTATTTTCTAAATTTTCACCTATTTTCAGTCGATTTACTACCACAAAGATCCTATTACCTTGAGACCAGCAGGCCGCTTGTACGATAAATATTACAACACATTGAAGAGATTGAGGAAATCCGGTGAATTAGTGGACCCAGAAAGTTCAACTCCTGAGGCATCACCCACAGAAGAATATACATTTACTTTCGAGGATGAAAAATGTAACGCCACCACAATAGCTTTTGTTTTGTAATTATTTCATATTTTTTTATGCAGCTGCCTATGACTGGCTCAAACTTTTTGATTCGCCGTGGAGCACAGTTGAAGCAAATTGGAAAAAAACCTTCAAAATCAGTCGACAAGAAAATTTGAACTCAAGTGGTAGCACATCAGCGAAAACTTTACGGGCCTGGAAACTTTTTTCCCATTCATGTGGATACAATCTGGTAAATGGATTTCTTAGTTTTACGTTTAAACTTGTCAGAATTGGTTGACTAGTTTGAATTTACAATCAAATGGGTCATATTAATAAAAAAAAAATGATTTTTCTCTAATTTGACATCAATTTGTATGGAAAAACTTTCAAAATTTGAGAAAATATTTCGAAAAAGCATTTTCTTTTTTATTAAATGACCCAATAAATACAAAAACTTCCTCTTGAAATACTATCATATATGAAAGTAATGCGTCATATTAATAAAAAAAGCAATTGCTTTTTCAAAACCTTTTCTCAAATTTTGAAAGTTTCTTTATACAAATTGATGTAAAATTTGTGAAAATTTGAGAAAAAACAAAAACCTTTTTTAATCATATGACCCAATATTTAAAGGCACGGCTGCAAACCGGTTCTGAATCGGGTTTTGAACCGAACCACTGCTGTGAAACCCAATCAACTTTCATATAATAATAGATATGCAAGTTGGAAGTAGCTCAAAAATTTCCCTGAATTTTCCTTTTTTTTGCTTAGAGGGTGTTGATCAATTTCTTCCATAAAATACAAAAAAATAAATATATACATTTTGCATTTCTCTTTAAAAAAAAATCGGAAAACTTAGAAAAATGTTTGAGCTAGCTCCAACCTTCACAATATTATTCTTTAGTCGGTTGGCTGTAAAAATGGTCGCTACCGAATTTAAAACTCAAAATTTAATAATGCTTTCCTTTATTGCAGATTGATATTGACTTCAATGCTCTACATCAGAATTGCTCACAGCTAACAGAGAAATGGCAAGGTTTTAGAACAAACTTTCCATGTATTACATTTAAAATATCCACAGGATAGCATTGAGTTTTGGACGTTTGTCCAAAGATATTTTTATTCCATTGAATTGACTGAAGATAAAACTTCTCCAAATATCCTTTGTTTGCTGAGGGACTTAATTTAATTTATTAAGTATAGATACGTAGTCACATAAATCTTAACACCTTCAATATTCAATAATTATTATTAAATATTATATATGTAATAGTTATTATTTTTTTGTTTAAAATGGTTTTGTGTTTTGTATGCAACAACAATTTTGAAGATGTTGATATACTCGTAAATCATCTAAAAAATTTTCACAATTTAACATCATCTAGTACTTTTTACTGTCTACATTGCTGTCATTATTATCAGTGCTTGCGAACTTTTAAAAGCCACTTTAAGAAAGCGAATTCATGCATTTCTAATATAATTCCAAATGTTCAGAGTCTTAGTGAATCCGAAAATAATAATTTTCCACCACAATTAAACCAACGGCAATGTAATCAAGAACGTCAAGAAATATACGAATTTTCTCATGCTGAGTTCGAAAATATTGCGCTACTATTTTTGAGTAAATTGCACAGTCAATCAAATTTCGCTCGATCTGATGCAGAACGACTAATTGATGATATAACAAATGATTTGCTTTTGCCAATAGCACACTTTTTAGAAAATATTATATTCGATTTTGCAGAACAAGAAAAAGTCCAACTCAGAAACTTAGTTTCGTTTTTAAGAGATCCCTTTTCAAAATGTAAAACATTTTACAAATTTTTAAAGGAACTCAAAATGAGAAAGTGCTTTGAAGACCCACAAGAATTCGAGATTGATAATAGAATTGCGCCCGTAGTTCATCACCATGCAATTTCGTTAACAGAGCAACACAGTAAGGGTGTACTAATGCCATTACGATTTCAAATTAAACATTTCTTCGAACTTCCTAATGTATTAAAAGATACTTTGGAAAATACACAGAAATTCCTTGCAAATGATAATGAATTAAAAAACATTGTTAATGGAAAATTATGGAAATCTAAAATGAGTTTATTCAGCGATAAAACAGCAATTCCTTACGTTATTTATTTTGACGATTTTGAAATTAATAATCCTTTGGGTTCCCACAGAGGGACACAATCAATAGCTGCTTTTTATTACAGTTTCCCTACTTTGCCGCAGCACTACCAATCGCGACTAGAAAATATATTCCCTGCTCTTTTCTTCAGAAGTAAACATAAACAGTTTGGAAATGACGCATCATTGAAATTACTGGTAGAAAAAATTAAAAGTCTTGAAGAAGAGGGAATTGACATTAGCTTTGATAATACAACCAAAAAAATTTATTTTGTACTAGCACTAGTTGTGGGTGATAACTTAGGTTTAAATAGTATTCTCGGCTACACTAAAAGCTTTTCATCTAATTACTTTTGTCGATATTGTTTATGCAATAAAGAAGAAACTTCGTACATGGTCGAGGAAATAGAGAGCAAACTTCGGAATGAGTTAAACTATACAGAAAACCTTGCTACAGAAGATATACCAGAGAAGCGAATAAAGTTAACTGGTATATCTGAGAATTCCATTTTCAATGACATTAATTCATTTCATGTGGTAAATAATCTTACCGGGGATATTATGCATGATATTTTTGAAGGTGTTTGCCGATATGACGTTTCGAAAATATTACTCCATTTTATTGAATCCGAAAAATTGTTTACAATTGAAATTTTAAATGATCGAAAAAATCAATTTCAATACGGTGAAATTGAGTTAAGTAATAGATCTCCAGAAATTCAAATATCACATTTGAAATGTCAAAAACTTAGTATGTCAGCACGAGAAATGTGGACATTTTGCCATTTTCTTCCAATAATAATTGGGGATTTAATACCACTACACAATAAACATTGGAAACTTTTTTGTACATTAATTGAAATTATAGACGAGATTTTAAAAACAGAGTTCGACGATGAGTCCCTTAATAAATTAAAGTTAAAAATTAAGAACCATCACACGATTTACGTACAACTATTTGGCCCGACGTTAAAACCGAAATTTCACTTTCTACTTCATTACGCTACAATCATAAAAAATGTAGGACCTCTTAAGCATGTATGGCGTTTTAGGTTCGAGTCCAAGCATAGAGAGATTAAATCGTATACCAATTGTATTACCTCTAGAAGGAATGCACCTTTGTCAATCGCTGTTAAATGTATGATAAAGTTTTCAAATCGGTTACTTTTGAATAAAGGATTAGATAGAAACTTATTTTTCGAAAACCAATCTAAAGAAAAATTTAAAAACAGATATTACAGTAAAAAAGTAAATATAAGTTCTTTTGAATGCGAAATATTAATAAATGAAAGCTACAATTTTATAACAAAAGTGCAAATAAAAGGTACTACTTATAAAATTGGATATTTCCTGATGTCAAAATCTTTGAAATTATTTGAAATCAAAGACATTATTGTACTTGAAAACAACAAAGTAATTTTCGTATGTGTTGAACACACAATTGCAATGTTTTCAGACCATTTTCAGTCATTTCCAATTATAAAAAGTACAGACCAATTTTATCTATTGGACTTTTCTGAATTATATTATTCACCTCTTAATACAACTCTTTCCCCTAATGGAATTACGTATATTCGTCCAAAGTTTTTTTGAAACTATACATGTATAAATTTTATATATATTTATATCTTTGTCTTAATTTACAATAGTAAAACACATAAAAATATGTACTTATTAAATTAAAAGTAATAAATAATAATAAATTTATTTAAAATCAATGTTTTTTTTAATCACTTCTTTTTATTTTAGCAAAGTAACTATTAAAATGGTAAGTGGACAACTTTTGGAGGTAAAAAAATAGTAGTTTTACCATTTTTATAGTACAAAAACTATTTTCCATAGTAAACTAACTATTTTTCATAGTAATAAAACTATTTTCATGGTAAAGTAACTATTTTTAATGGTAAAAAAACAATTTTTCGTGGTACACGAACTATTTTTCATGGTTAAAAAGCAATTTTTTGTGGTACACGAACTATTTTCGTGGTACACGAACTATTTTCGATGGTAAGCTAACTATTTTTAATGGTACCCGAACTATTTTCCCGAACTTTCATAATAACAATTTTTTGTCGGTTTGATTTACAATTTTTTTCGGTCACTGCAATTTTAATCGTCTTTTTCGGTTAGATTTACCTCTCTTTTTCTTTGTGTGTGTATGTATAATGACCAAATTATTGGCGCCACGAAATCTACAGTGCGGAACGATGTTTTTATAATTTGAAATTAAGTGCTACTACTCGTTGGTTGAAAAATTGAAAATCTTGCAAATTAGATTTGCGTAACAAGTTCTCGAAACTACTTTTTCCTCCAAACGGCCGTAGCGGGCACTTACATATACATACATATGTACATATATATGGATGTTAAACGTGTTTTGGTTTCAGTTGAAGCCTCTTAATTTCACAAAATCACTCGCGTTGCTATTTATCACACAGTTGTTTAAATATTATTCTTCCAGTATTACACAAAAAAAAAGAATAGTGCAACGAAATTTTAAACCACGTACCTTTTCCTTTCCACTGATGCACTTTATATGTTAAAATATGTAGGGTAGTGTGAGCAGTTTCCTCGAAGATATCTTCGCTCGTAATATGCGCAGTTATCTCTTGGCTGGCAGATTTTGTGGTCACAAATTGTTGCTGGTGTTTCGAAAAATTTATGTTGTTATTAGTCGCTCGGCTCGAAGGACCAATGAACATCGACGCAACGTCGTGGCAAGAATATGTTGCACGTTCACACCGAGACTACAAGGAAGAGGACACGTTCCAGCCACCACACTCCATCAATTCATCGAAGGTAATCTGTAACCTATACATATATAAATACATATCTCTATACACATATATTAGAATCCTAATAAAGATTGAATTATATTCTAATACCACGTTTTCGATTCCATTGTCTTTCATTTACAACATTTGTGTGAACGTGCAACATATTCTTGCCACGACGTTGCGTCGATGTTCAAAGACTGTCGTCAAATTTCGGTGTCAGATGATTGACATTCCGTTTTCATTACTGATGTCAAATGTGATGTTAAATTATTACAAAAAGGGTAGAATACCGACCGTTTAGCTATAGACAAACCAAAAATGTAATTGGATAGAACTCTTCTTGTTGATTTTAACATTACCAAAATTATTTAGCGCAAGTAAAAAATTAAGAAGATATAGTAGGTTAAGTTAAATGTTTCGATATTTTGAAATATCAGTATCTTATGAACTACATAACCGATTAAATAACTAATGATGTCAAAATAAAGGTGATTAGTTTATCTTTCAGTTGATGTACATAATTTTTCTGATTTTTTATATATTTTTAAGTCACAAATACAAAAAAAAAATAATTTTTTCATTAAATTACCTTTTTTGAAGAAAATTGCATAATTAATGCTACAGAAATTTATATTATTTAGAAAGTACAAGTTATTACCTTATATAGAAAGGTTTGTTATAGGGAGAAAATTTAACGAAAGTAGTGGAAAAAATCGAAATAGTATATATATTTTCTTTAAATATCGTTTACCAAAAATTTGTTTTAAAAAATTGTTATAGTAAATACGTCGTAAAAAAGCTATTAAAATTATCTTTGAGTTGGATTCAATACTTTTCTAATCGGTCAAGTCGTTTCCGAGATATTTAACATATAAGAAATAGGAAGGTTGAAGTTTAACCTGTTATATTTTCTTTCGTTTTTACTTGCCCCAAATAATTTCGTATCGTTGAAATCAGCGTGAAAAGTTCTATCGATCTGCATTTTTGGTTTTTTGGTAGCTAAATGGTCCCTATTGTAGCTAGAATCAGCTGTTCGCATGGCAAACGAAATCAAGATTGCCAATATGTTGGCAAATACATTTTGGTTGTCAAATGCTGCCACATCAGCGGCGAGGACCGTTTTCATTTGGATGTCATTTTATATGACCGTGCGTGGTGATATATGGCAACAAACGCAAATGAGACCAGATGACAACCCGTTTTCATTATTTTGACAACATTTGGCGTCAAATATTACCTAACGAAAACCAGGCTTTATAATCTAATTCTAATAGTGTGAACAAAAGGTGCAATCCCGTATTCCTCGCAATAAAACTAGTAAAACTGTCAAAAAAAAATTAGCTCAGAGCGAGAGAGTAACATT